TTTCTGTTAATTAATATAGCAAAATCTCTTTTATTGCAGTGCCTAATTATTTCATAATGAGCTCTATTATTTTCTGGGTTAATTAGAATCAATGATAAAAGGTAAATAAAAAGAAATGAAACATTTTCTTCTTTTGAAGAATAGAAATCAGATAGTCATGTAAATAAATGCTTTGTGACCAGTGCATTTACGTTAATTTCATTGTGTATCTCCATTCTGAAATGAAATTGCTTCAGGTTTGCAGGTTTTTGTTTTAACATCTGTGTTGAATCCTTCTTTTAGACTGATGTTTCGTGATAGTTTCTTTCTTTCTTTTTTTTTTAAATTTAAGAAATTTTTTCCCCTTAGTTTATTGAGATATAATTGACATACAGTGGTGCTGGTTTCCTATTAGGGTTTATGGAAGGTGTAGAGAAAGGAAAACAGATGGCTTTATTTTGTTTTCAGGGGACCTGAGTTGGTGATGAGAAAGTAATTTGGGGATGGGCTGAAGAACTGAATGACACCCCCCCCACCAGCTGAAAGAGATGAACAATTAAATCAATGTTGGATGCATGGGTATTTGGTCAATAGAAGTTGCTGAGCCCAATCTGGCTAGTTATGCCTGATGGAAAGTACTGAATTTTAGTGTGTCGACCACTACTTTCAGGAGAATTAGATGTTTACACCAAGTAGAAGTAGCTTTGAGCTATCAGAAAACCAGTCATTTATTGAGGTAAAAAAAGAATACATCTTTTTTATTTCTGCAACTTTTCAAAATAAGGTTGAATGGAGATGAACCTGAGTTTAACGTACTGGGGGCAGAAGGGGTGGTCTCTGGGCTTTGTTATATGGGAATGTGTGGGGATCCTGCTGTAGAGGTTGAAGCTGGTAGGAAAGAACCCGGAAATCAGCATTGGGTGTTTGAGGGCATCTTCTGCAGCCGTCCCACATTAGAGAAACGTGGCCTTGATCTTTGTTCCCGAGGGAGAGCAAGTAGAACATTGAGGTTCTCCTCTCCCCCCTACCTTCCAGTTCCTGCTACTTGTGCCTTCTGACCTCTGCTTATGGGGCCTTTGGTGCCAGGGCTGACCACAGCCTCTTCCTCACTTACTAAGGTCTGATCTTTCAGGCCATAGTGTTGAGGGAGTTCAGAGCAAGTCTCCCCAAACTGTGCCTCTTTGGCATGTGGACTCTTTTGAGCTGAAGGCAATTGAAACTCTGTGGGATCAAGAGAAACTTTTGTCCCTCCCCTAGCTACCTAGAAGAATCTCAATTTGGTATCTTTCCCAGAATAAGAGTTATTACTGGAGATTAATTTTATCTGAATGACCCATCGGTATAGCAGGGCGCATAACTAATTGCCAAACATGTGCTTTTCCTTTTATTGCCCTGTGAATTGTGCTCCTCTCTCTTAAAACCCTAGGCCTATCCCGTTCCTTAGCTCAGGATGGCATAGATCCCTCATTTTACCTGTCTTTGTAACTCTCATGTATGTGGGGTTCCCAAATGTATGAAATTAAATTTGATTTTATGGTTAATTTGTCTCATGTCAATTTAATTCTTAGACCAGCCAAAAGAACCGTTGAAAGATAGAGGAAAATTTTTCCTATGCAATAGTTTCTTTTCTGCTGTTTAAACCCTGGCAAATGGGTTGGTAGGGAATCACTTCACAACTCCGAGGAGCAATGTGGTATGATTCTCCCTAGTCTCTAAATCTGAACAGTGAACGTTCTCTCAAGGTTATAAAATTGTTCAGCTCCCTAGAAAACCCATCCACATGAAGTTATGACAGAATTGCATCACTTCCATTTTATTTTTGAAATTTAAATGGATATACTATTCAAAACGACGTGTTTCAGAATTTTTTTTTCTTGCCTGGTTTTCCTACAACTATTTCGAAGGCCAGAAGGGAAAGAGTTTGACAGTCTTGACAGTCTTTGGATGCTTGCTCCGAAGTTTATTATAAGAACCAAGCTTCTCCTCTAGTCATTTCTAGCTTTAGGCTTCTGAGCCCTTGATCAGCATTTGAAGTAGAATGCTTTGTGGGGTCAGATTGCTTTTTTTCTTGTCACTTCTGAATATGTCCTGTCCATTCAGCAACTGTTTCAAGTGAAATGATTTTTTGGCCGATTTCAGTTAATTCAAATTTGCTTTCCCTTTTTTATGTTGAGGGGATTTTCTTCTGCCTATAATAAAAATAAGCAATTTGCGCTTACTGTGTGAAGGCACTGTTCTAAGGAGCTTTTTTCTTAAACAGCTTTAATATAATCTACCCCTTTAAAGTACACAATTCTGTGGTTTTTACTATATTCCCAGATTTGTGCATACATCACCACAGTGAGTCTTAGGGCATTTTATCACCCCAGCAGCAAGGCCCGTGCCCCTTAGCAGTCACTCCCTACTTAGTCCCAGGCAGTCACTCATCTGTCTTTGTGGATTTGCCTGTTCTCAACGCTTCATGTAAATGGAACCATACAACAATGTGACTGTTTTCACTTAACAATGTTTTCAAGGTTCATCCGTGTTGTAGTATGAATCAATATTACTTTTCTTTTTACTGCTGGTAGTACTATTTTGTATGAATAGACTGCTTTTTGTTTATCCATTCATCAGTTGATGGGCATTTGGGTTGTTTCCACTTTTTGGCTATCATCAGTAATGGTACTATGAACATTCAACATACAAGTGTTTGTGTGGACGTATGTTTTCAGTTCTCTTATGCATAAGCCTAGTAGATAGAAGTGCTTGGTCATATGGTGACACAGTGTTTAACTTTTTGAGGAACTGCCAGATTGTTTTCCAAAGTGGTTGTACCATTTCATATTCTCATTGGTGGTGTATGAGACTTCCAGTTTCCCTACATCCTCGCCAACACCTGTTATTATCCTTTTGAGCATAGTCATTGTAGTGAGTGTGAAGTGGTATCTCGTTGTAGTTGTGTTTCGCCTTTCCCTTACAGCTAATGATACTGAGCATCTTTTCATTGTGCTTATTGCTATTTGTATATTTTCTGTGGAAAAATGTCTATTCAGATCCTTTACAAACCATTTTTTACTTGAGTTATTTGTCTTTTTGTTACTGACTTGTAGCAGATCTTTTTATATTCTGGATATAGCTCCCTTACCCGATACATGGTTTTTAAAAATTTCCTCTTATTCTGTGTGTTGTCTTTTTACTTTCTTGATATTGACCTTTGAAGCAGAGATGTTTTAAATTTTGTTGAAGTCCAGTTTATCTGTGTTTTCTTTGTTGCTTGTGCTTTTGGTGTCATATCTAAGATACAAGGTGTTGTATATAAACTTTCCATATAAAGCAACTTAATCCTTACAGAAATTTTAGGTCCTAGTTTATAGATGAGGAATTTGAGATGCAGAAGCATTCACTGACTTGCTCAAGGTCACAGCTAGTAAGTGGTGATGTGGGAATTCAGACTCAGGAGTTTGTCTCCAGCATCTGTCTTCATAACCACCATACTCTGTTCCTTTCTATAGGAATCATTTATTAAAAACTCTGCCTATTTGATTTCTTACTATGTGTTTTTTTTTCTTCATTGGGACCTCATCTCTTTATTTAGCATGCAGAGGTCAGTGTAGGTTTATTTAGGTCTAAGGTAGGTGGAAGCTTTGCTATTAATGAATTTCTGCGTTATTCACCTTCCAGTAATAATTGTTGCTAATTGACCTAAGGAAGTCATGCTTAAGGCTTTTCTGTTCATCATACTAAAAGTAGAGTCATGACTACAGAACATTCAAAGAAAGCATTTGGTTGATTTCATTTGGCTAACCAATGAAATAAAAAACCCGGTTTTGAAATAGATTGTAAGTCTCCCAGATTAAGGTCCTGGTCTTCCTTACATCCGTCTTGTTTGCTTATAGTGTCCAGCTAGTGCCTTTTGTCCAGCAGATCAGTTAGAACACGGTGATCATGGGTCATCATCTGGAGTAACAGAATTCTGACAACAGTATCTGTTGTTTGTTTCACAAGGGAAAAGATAATATAGAAATACTTCTCAGATCTATTTTAAAAGCTTGGAACTTTGAGAAGAGTTCCACAAACCATACAAAGCTATTTTCACTAATTTTAGATCTATCCTAGACACTTTATGGTTACATAGCAGAGTAAACTCATTAACTAGACTTGACAAGAGAAGTGTAATATTGATTATCTTAATTCAAATATTCTGCTTTGGTTAAAGTAATTAGTGCTGTGAGTAAACAAAAATAAGCTTGCATTTGTATGCGACATGGGGATAGACTTCCTCTCTATTTCTATCTGTTTTTTGGGAACATTTTTGTAGCTTTTCAGCAATGTTCTAACTTTAGAATTCTATTTTAAAAATCGTCACTTTGTCTAGTGCAATTTGTGCTGAGTTTAACCTGTCTTAGGCTCAGAATTTCACTGTTTCCTAGGTAAAGATTTTCCTCTCATTATACTGAGTTAGTGTCAGAATTACAGGAATTGTGATTTCTTTTTTTTTTTTTTTTAAAGATTTTATTTATTTATTTGACGGAGAGAGACACAGTGAGAGAGGGAACACAGCAGGGGGAGTGGGAGAGGGAGAAGCAGGCTTCCCGCAGAGCAGGGAGCCCGATGCGGGACTTGATCCCAGGACCCTGGATCATGACCTGAGCCACCCAGGCACCCCAGGGAATTGTGATTTTTAGGTCTTTCCTCTCCATATATTTGAAGTTGGCTATCAAATATGATTTTCTTTCATTTTTTGGGTTTTCTTTATTCAATTAGAATTTTTGAAAATTAATTTGTTTTAACATGTTGTATAAATCTCCCTAGAAACTTCATGTGTGTGCTATTTAATTTGCAAATATTTGTAAATTCCCCAAATTTCCATCTGTTATTGATTTCTAATATAATTCTGTTGCAGTTAGAGATCATACTCTTAGTTCATTTAAATTTATTGAGATATATTTTATGATCTAGCATGTTGTCTGTCCTGGAGAATGTTCCATGTATGCTTAGAAGAATGTGTATTCTGCTCTTATTGGGTGGAGTGCTCTAGATGTCTGCTAGTCCTTTTTTTTTAAAGATTTTATTTATTTGACACAGAGAGAGAGAGGGAGAGAGAGAGCATAAGCAGGGGGAGCGGCAGGCAGGGGAGAAGCAGGCTCCCTGCTGAGCAGACAGCCCGATGCAGAGCTTGATCCCAGGACTCCGGGATCATGACCTGAGCCAAAGGCAGCTGCCCAACTGACTGAGCCACCCAGGCGCCCCGCAGATGTCTGCTAGTTCTACTTGTTGAAGTCTCCTGTTCTTATTTTATTTCTGCTATAGGATTTTTACCATGCTGCCTCCAACTTCCTTTAGCTTGCTTAAAAATCACAACTCCTTCAATATTTCTTCCTGAGTCAATGTCTAATTCTTCTTGAAGGTATATGTCCAGTCTTATTCCCGGGTTTTAATTTTTTCAGGGAAAAGGAATTAGACCCTCATGCAAGACTTGGTTCATTATGAAGGGTCTGACAGCTGTCATTATCACCATGCCCCCGTGGTGGCCTTGTCAGAGCACTCTGTACTGCTGTGACACCACATTCCCAGCGCCCAACCCAGCGGCCGGCTTGTTGGAGGAACACCTGGGGGTTATGAGTGGAAGAATGACCATTCTGCTTGGGGCTCATGATCTTAGTCTGTAATTTGTCTTTTCTAATTTCATTTATATTCCCAAATGTGTATGTTTCAGTGCTCTTATATTTGCAAAAACACATGCTATTTTTAAAATTAAGATGTTTTTAGGATTTATGTATATATGTATTTTCAAATAATCTCTATGCCCAGTGTGGGGCTTGAAATCATGACCCTGAGATCAAGAGTTGCATGTTCTACTCACTGAGTCAGCCAGGTGCCCCCACATTCTGTTTTTAATAGACTTGTTCTATGATTGAGTTTACCAGAATTCTAATTTTTTTCTTTTGATTTTGAAACAACTTAAAACGTCCAAAAAATTCAAGTTTCCAGAATGGTACCAAGAACTCTGGTGTACTCCTCATCCAGATTTCCCATGATTATCATTTGTTTTATTATTTGAACTCTGTGTGTTTACATACAGTTTTTAGGGCCATTGGAGAGTAAGTTGCAGACCTGATGCCCCTGCCCTGAATCCCTAAGCGTGTATTTCCTAAGAACAAGATCATTTATATACCAAAACATAGTAAGCTGATTAAAATCAGGAAATTTAAAATTGACAGAATACCTTTATCTACTCAATTCTACTAACTGTCCCTGTACAGCAGTTCTATTTCTAGAGCCAGGATCCAGCTCAGGATCACACATTGCATTTAGTTTCCACATCATTTAATAATATTTAATCTGATATAGTTTCTCAGCTTTTCGGTGTCTTTTGTGATACTGATATTTTTGAAGAATACCAATCATTTATTTTATAGAATATTCCGCAGTTTGGGTTTGCCTGAGGTTGCTTCATGATTATGACGTTATGCATGTTGCTATGGTGGGGGACGCAGAATAAGTGATGTTGGGTCTTTATTGCATTATATCAGGAAACGCGTGAGGTTGGTTCGTCCCATTATTGGCCGTCACTTTGATTGTTGGCTGCAGTGGAGTTGGCTAGGTTTTCCAGTGTAAAGTTAACTATATTCCTTTTTGTAATTAATAAGTACTTTGTGGGAAAATACTTTGAAACCATGTAAATATCCTGTTTTTCATCAAACTTTTACCTACTAGATCTGGCATTCACTGAAGATTTTTACCTGAGTCAGTTGATGGTTGTCAAAAGGTGATGTTCTAACTTCATCATTACTTATCCATTTGCTGGTTAGCATTCTCATACAAGTAAGAGCTTTCCCGTCCTCTCAGTGCCTCCCTCCCTCCCTCCTGTCTGTCCATCCATCCATCCAGCCAGCCAGCTGTCCCTCATTACTGTGGACTTATGGATCTTTATTTAGTGGGTTCTAATCCATTGCTTTCATTCTTTATTTTTCAGCCCATTGGCTAGATTTGGTCAGTGGGAGCCCTTCAAGCTGGCTCTTGTATCCTTTGATATGGTCCTCATCAGTTTTTGAGCCTTTCTTTACGTTCTGGATGGAGATATTTATGTTCGTTTTGTACTTTCCCTGTCCCAGCTTTGAAATCAGACATCCCTCTCCAGTGTTCTAGTTCCTTTTGTTGGCAAATGGTATTTAGAAACCAAAATCGGCACTGAACATGCCATTGCTTATAGGCCTTTTGAGAAGTTCATAGTGTTATCTAGAGTTCATACTCTCCTATCTCTAATTCCAGTCCAAAACCTGAGGGGTCGTTCCACTCTTTCCCTGTGTTACATTTATATCTTCCTTCTCTAGCAGTGAGAAGTCTGGCTCCCGGTATCGTCAATATATTTACTCATTTTCTTAGTCCTACAGTATATATAGAAAGTAGTTTCAGAATTACCAAGCAATGTCCCTATAGAAACAAACCTTTAAGTAGAGTGTAAGAGTTGTGTGTGCTCTTTCTGTCTTTATACCGAGGATAAATATACAAGGTGCCATGATCAGAAGTTGATTGGGTTTGTCCTTTAATCCTTCCTGTCAAGGTAATTATGCTATTTATTTGAAATGTAGTTAGGCTCATTTGTTTCTGTTTGTATGCCATTATAGTGTTCCCCTATCTTTCTTCCTTCCTCCCTCCATCCCTCTCACCTCCCTCTCTCCCTTCCTTCCTTCCTTCCTTCCTTCCTTCCTTCCTTCCTTCCTTCCTTCCTGCCTTCCTTCCAACATGAAAATGGTTCCCAGTGTCAAAACTATACAAAAGATTATACCCAGAGAAGGGTCACTGCCTCTCTTACCCCTCTCACCTCATTCCCATCTACCTCTGCAGGAGACTAGTCTCATCTGTTCCTGGTTTTTCACTCTGGTGGGGTTGTTCGTTTGCTTGTTTGTTGTTGAAGAAAACCAGACAGATGTTCTTATTTCTGTTTCTTGTGCGTAAGGTGGCGTATTACACACGTTCTTTTATATTTGGCTTTTTTTGTTCTGCCATGTTTGCCAGCATATCCTGGAAACCGATCCCTGTCAGGTGATGGGGACCTTCCCCACCCCTTTTCACAGGTGTGTAGCACGCCGTGTGCATGTATGTGCCATATTCTGTTCACCAGTCTTCTCATGGACTTTTTGATTTCCAGTCGTTTGTAATTACAAATGCTGCTCCAGTGAATAACCTCATACATGTGTATTTCTGTGTTATTGGCGTTGGGTCTTCAGCATAAATTCCTAGAAATGGAATTCCTGGGTCAAAAGGTTAAAAAAATATGTAGACACACTTTTATTAGGTTTTACCACCTCTCTCTCCATAGAGGTCATAGCATTTGGCGTTCACAGGAGCCATGCCCGAGGGTGCCTTTTCTCTCCAGATTTGTTAACAGCTCGTTGCTGTGCTTTTACATTAGACCAACTAGATATACTGTAGGTGACATTCCACAGCTTTTTAATTGGTGAGGGCCATCTTAATAGTTTCCTTTTGCAAATTATCTGCTCATATCTTTTGCTCATTTTGTTCTATTGGATTTTAGCTTTTTCTCAATTTTTATGACCTCATTATATATTAGAGCTCTTAGCCCTTTGTGATATATATTGCAAATACTTTCTCTCAGATCGTCATTTTTGTTTTAGCTTTGTGGTATTTTTGCTGTATTTTTACATAATTGAATTTATGAGTTTTTAAAATTGCATTTGGATTTGCATCATAGAGAGCCTTTCCCTATATCCAGGTTTTAGAGGAATTCACCCATGTTACTTGAACTTCTTTTCTGGTTTTCTGTTTTACATGTAGATCCTAGAGCATTTGGAGTTGATTCTTGTGTTTGGTGTGAGGTATGGGTCCGTATGGGTCTGTTCTGAGCTTTTTCCAAATGGCCATCCCGGTGTCTCAGTACCATTCATCAGAAACTCCCGCTCTGCCCTGGTGTTCGAAGCGCTCAGGCTCACGTCCTGACCTGTTGGCAGCGCTGTCTCTTTGCTGGCCGTCTGCAGATGGCGTGAGGAGCATCCATGTCACAGGCGCTGGTTTTTCAGTAGGACAGTGGATGTGAGTGAGCCAGTGGGGGGCCGGCCTGCCCGCTGCTGCTGGGCTCACTGCCATACCATGGGTGCCTCCCTTCTCTGAGCCCTGTTGCTGCTCTTCTCTCTCACGGTTTGTCTCTCTCCTGCCTCCTCTGTCTCTGCTTTATGCCCTCTTACTTCTGCTTTGTTTTATCTCTGTGTGCGTTGCCTTTCCAGTTTTGTGCTTTGGATGCCATCTTGCACATAAGACGACCCTGTAACTCTCTCCCTGGCTCTTGAATGAATGAATGATTGTTGGATGGATGCCTGAGAACCGTTGTGATGATGTTGTTTTCCGAACTTTCCCCCCACTTCTTCTTTTCTTTTCTTCTCTTTTCTTTTTTTCTTTATTTATTTGAGAGAGAGAGAGAGAAACAGCATGAGACGGGATAGGGTCAGAGGGAGAAGCAGGCTCCCCGCTGAGCCGGGAGCCCGATGTGGGACTCGATCCCAGGACTCCGGGGTCATGACCCGAGCCGAAGGCAGTTGCTTAACCAACTGAGCCACCCAGGCGCCCCCCCGCCACTTAACTATGTCCTCTCTTTTCCTTTCCTCCTGCCTGGCCGTCAGCCTGCCTGTTTCATTGATTTTTCCTCTTTGTAGACTCAGGCTGTGGTCCTGATGATTCCTTGTTTCACTGGTTCACACTAACATTACACGGAGGCCGTCAACACTTTGTACATGTCAAGAAAGATTGAATCTATTGCATACTAGTTTTTTAGAGCTTGTTCTTCTTCTTCTTCTTCTTCTTCTTTTTTTTTTAAAGATTTTATTTATTTGACAGAGACAGCGAGAGAAGGAACACAAGCAGGGGGAGCGGGAGAGGGAGAAGCAGGCTTCCCGCGGAGCAGGGAGCCCGATGCTTGGCTCGATCCCGGGACCCTGGGATCATGATCTGAGTAGAAGGCAGACGCTTAACGACTGAGCCACCCAGGTGCCCCAGAGCTTTTTTTTCTTTTATTGAATGAAATGAAATCACTGTGACCCTTAGTGGTAAGCTCTCTCCTGAGCTCTGCTGTTGTTAGTTTCTGACACATTGTGTTGTTCTGGGTTGTTGCCCGTGGAGTTCCCCCAGCATCAATACTGGTGTTTAATTAATCCTTAAATGAACCCTCGTTATCATTGGTGCCATTTCTTTAAAAGTGGAGGGGGCATTTGCTTCTTGATCGCATACTGTTTGGAGGAGAGGAGGTACCATGAAGAATGAAGGACCCACCTCACTCTGGCCCCTGTTGTTTCCCTTCCTTTCTTCAAGGGAAAAGAGTAAAAGTCAGTGATAGAAAGATAAATTGTTGGAGCCTATTAGATAAATCAAAACTGCCTATACACTTACTAAATATTCTTTAAGCCAGAAACAAATGTATTAATGCATGAAAAACACACAAAGCATAATATTATGTACGATATTGAAAAACGTAGGCCCAAGTTTGAATCCTACTTTGGAGTCACTAGCTCTGCAATTCTGAAAACTAACAAAGAATATTTGCCTTCCCAGGACTTCTTCCCTCACCTGCAGGAATGAGGTACACTGGGAGCCTCCCTCACAGTGTGGCTGGGGGCTGTGAGGGAGAGCATGGGAGGAAGTCCTTAGCACACATGCTGAGTCCTTCTGCGTGCAAAATCATGTATCTTGGGCTCTGCTGGTGTTGTAAGCACTCCGTGTAAACCCTCACTGCTCTGAAGGGATGCCGTGTGGCTTGGAGATGGAATTCTCAGTTCTGTAAGGATTGTGTCATCGGGCCTTGATGATTTGAATCTGTTCTTTAAAAAGGTATATATTTTAGGTTTTTCAAGCATGCTCTTTTCTCTTATTATTTATAGTTCTATCCTCTCATCCCTTGCTGTGATTTTCACAGAATCTGGAGGAAACAAGATCCCAAGCCACCTGCCTCTTAATGGTTCCCTGTTGTCCTTCTTTCTTCCCTAGCTAGAGGAGGGTTTTGTACAGGAGCCTGTTTCTGTTTCCCTTTTCTTGGAGTCTCTCTGTCCGTTTGCGCATCTGCCACCTGTCCATCTGTCTGTCTATCCACTCATTCTTTTGTCTTGTTCCCCAAAGTATTTAAGGCAGCTTACAGAATAACAGAATACCAAATAAGCAGGAGAGAATTGGGCCAAGATCAGAAGCGAGGGTAGGACTTGAGCTGACACGCGTGTTATGGGCAGTGAGATGCATGCCTGGGCCTCAGGGATTATAAGGATCGGCAGCAGCCTCATGCCTAAGCCCCCAGCAGGTGTCAGGAAGACGGGGTTTGTCTGAGAGATAAACAAGTGGCTTAGCAGGAGCCCAGCTTTTTCTGTTACTGAGGCTTAAGAGAGTATTTTTTGTGTTCTATGAAATAAAAAACTATTTCATCTTTTTTTTTTTTTTCCTGTCAGAGTTCCATGTGTAGTTGGTTATGTTCTGTAAATGGAGATTTCTCCAGAACTCTTCCCCACGTGAGTCTGATGGCCGGGGAATTCGTCCATTCTGCTTAGTGACAGAGGTTGGCCAGAAATAGAAAATGGGAGCCACAGACAGGATACTAGTCTTTGTCAGTTCTATTTCTTTAGTGCTGGACGATTTGGAAAACACTTTCATGTAGTTTATCTTCGTTTGAGGACGCGTGCAGCCTCCTGCTAGCACTCAGCTTAGAGCCGCAAGGTAACGCGTGCCGACTGTGTCGTCTTCAAGATGGCAAAGCTAGTTATTACGGACACGTTACTTTTATATAATGCATCCCATGTTCTTTAGTAAAAGTCTTCAATAAGGAGGAAAACTTACTCTGAGTTAATTATCATTTAATGCAGTGCTTTGATGTAAGACTTACAGGGGACATATAAGCTAGAAGAATTTAAAAACGGCTTCATTATTTAAACGGGGTGGGGGGAAGTATTTAAGTTTTATTCTCTCTGTGCCCTTCTTTCAAACAAACAAAGAAGACAGAAAAAGCCAAAGATTATCTCTTTTCTTCCTTTTGGTTTGCAGGTGCCCTCACGACCAATGGCATAAATCCTGACACCAGTGCTGAAATTGGACGTGCTAAGAACTGTCTTAGTCCCGAGGACATAATTGACAAGTATAAGGAGGCCATTTCCTATTACAGCAAGGTGATTTTACTGCTTTGTAAACCCCGTCCCTAATTGTGTTGTTCTAACCAGGAGTTCCTGGTTTACACCGTGAAATACTATAGTATCTCCCAATTATTTGGTTCTGTAAGTATTCGTGTATTATACCCTAATGCATAACACTATATACCTAAAAGTATTTTTTATTTCTGATTCAAAATAATGTATATTTAATTTGATATTTGGAGAAGGGGGAACAAAGACTATCAGAGCCCCACTACTCAGAGATAGTCATTTTAACCCTTTAGTATCATTTTCTGGTTGTTTTGTCAACGCATATTGCCGATATCATAAAACATGGCGAGCGTTCGGTGCTCACTGTGTGGAGCCCTGCAGTTCTGATTTGGCGCATCATGTGTTCCTCTGTGTAGTTAAATCTTCCATGACGTGCGTTTTAATGCTGTGCCTAGCATCCCATCTTCTGGATACACCATTCTTGTTACTCTGGATTTAAAAAAAATTTAAATTTCAAATATCCTTTCTGAAATGCTGAGGACGAGAACTCCAGCTGTGCAGGAGTGAGGCAGCAGGGGCAGGTGGGGGCCGCCCGCCTCCCCCGCCCTTACTTCTTAGACTGACGAGTGTGCACAGTCTGGTACGGTTCTCATGACCGTCGGGCCCGTGAAGCATACGTGTGGATGTGTATCTCTTACTTAGGAAAGTGCGGCTGTCCCACGCATGTCGTTCGGCCGCTTGCTTCCTTGCCTCAGAGGTACCGCGTGGGTGTCCTCCCACTGCAGGCGGCTGCCCTCGTGCAGATAGGGTGGGCAGCCCTCTAACGCGTGGAGGTGGTCACTTATTATTTATTCATGCACGCCTCCCGTGAGAGACTGCCGTGAGCCCAGCTCGGGGAGTGGCAGCACCTGGAGCGACATGACGTGCCTGCTCCTGCAGAGCTCACAGCTTGTGAGGTTTGCTTCATTATCATCCTTGGGTGGATACTCAGGCTTGCTCACTTCCCACTGCTAGAAAAACAGTGCTTCAGTGAACATCTTTGTACATACATTCTTGTGTTTTTTTTTTTTTTAAGATTTTATTTATTTATTTGACAGAGAGAGAGAGACACACAATGAGAGAGGGAACACAAGCAGGGGGAGTGGGGGAGGGAGAAGCAGGCTCCCCGCCGAGCAGGGAGTCCGATGTGGGGCTCGATCCCAGAACCCTGGGACCACAACCCGAGCCGAAGGCAGACGCTTAACAACTGAGCCACCCAGGCACCCCATTGTGTTCTTTTTTTTTAAAGATTTTCTTTATTTGAGAGAGAGTGAGCATGGGGTGGGGGAGGAGCAGACGGAGGGGGGAGGAGCAGAGGGAGAGGAAGAGAGAGAGAGAGAGGGGGCAGGGGCAGAGGGAGAGAGAGAATCCTCAAGCGGACTCTGCGCTGAGCACGGAGCCCGACACGGAGCTCGATCTCAGGACCCTGAGATCATGACCTGAGCTAAAACCCAGAGTTAGATCCTCAACCGACTGAGCCACCCAGGTGCCCCTATTCTTGTGTCCTTTTTTTTTTTTTTTTTTTAAGATTTTATTTATTTGACACAGAGAGAGATAGCACAAGCAGGGAGCGCGGCAGGCAGAGGGAGAGGGAGAAGCAGGCTCTCCGCTGAGCAGGGAGCCCGATGCCGGGCTCGATCCCAGGACTCTGGGATTGTGACCTGAGCCGAAGGCAGCCGCTTAACTGACTGAGCCACCCAGGCACCCCTATTCTCGTGTTCTTGTCTGATTATTCCTTTAGTTAAGATCTCTGGGAATTTAATCACTGAACATGATGTTTACATTTATCATAAATTGCTTTCAAGTTACTCCTCAATTCCTTCCCCAACAGGGAATGAAAAGGGGAAAAGGGGTAGAATTATTTATTTAACCAGTTCTCCATTACTGGATATTATGTCATTTCAGTTTTCCTTCCCACAATGGTAAACAGAGATCTTATAAATGCCCCAATAGAGAAATCTTTTTGGACTGGTTTTTTTTTTTTAAGATTTTATTTATTTGACAGAGAGGGAGAGAGCACAAGCAGAGGGAGCAGCAGAGACAGAGGGAGAAGCAGGCTCCCCGCCGAGCAAGAAGCCCGATGCAGGGCTCGATCCCAGGAACCTGGGATCATGACCTGAGCTGAAGGCAGATGCCTAACGACTGAGCCATCCAGGCATCCCTGATCTTTTTTTTTTTAAGGGGACAGTCCCTAGAAGTGGACTTGAGTCAGAGCAAACATGGTATTTTTAGAGTTCACTTATACATTGCCATATTGTCCTGCAAGAAGGTTAACAGTCTGCTGTCTTACAAACACTAGCTATTAGGATATTTGCCACTATAATGGGCAAAGTAACTTTTCATTGTTTCTCTTTGCATTTGATTACCAGTGAGATGCTGAGCATTTTTCACTTGTTACCATTTACATTGCTTACATGAATTACCCATTTGTGTCCTTTGCATACATTTAAGGTGGGGTGTTTTTCTTGTTGCTTTTTTATTTATTTATTTTATTTTTATTTATTTATTTATTTTTAAAGATTTTATTTATTTATTTGAGAGAGAGCGAATGAGAGACGAGAGCATGAGAGGGAGGAGGGTCAGAGGGAGAAGCAGACTCCCTGCCGAGCAGGGAGCCCGATGCGGGACTCAATCCCGGGACTCCAGGATCATGACCTGAGCCGAAGGCAGTCGGCCACCCAGGCGCCCTCTTGTTGCTTTTTTATAGTTCTTTGTATATTATGGATATCAGGTTCTTACCTTTCATCAGTGTCTATTACAAATCTGTTTCCTAATGTTGCTTGCCTTTAATTTTGCTCATGAGGTTTTCTTTTTGTTTGTGGTCAAAACATGTTTTTAATATAGTAAATCTTTTCCTTATGGGTTTTACCTTCAGTATTATGCTTAGAAATGCCTTGACAATAGAATAAAACTCCTTTCCTCAGTTTTTTTAAATCTCTGAAATAAGGATGATGATAGTACCTTTCTCAAAGGGATACAGTGAGGATCACTGCAGAGTGAAGTACCTGGAAAATATTGTATTAGCTGTTGTTAGCATTTTATTTATTTATTTATTTATTTATTTAAAAAAGATTTTATTTATTTGAGAGAGAGAGAGGGAGAGAGAGCAGAGAGAGAGAGAGCAGAGAGGGAGAAGCAGGCTTCCCACTGAGCAAGGAGCCTGATGCAGGGCTTGATCCCAGGACCCTGGGACCATGACCTGAGCCGAAGGCAGACGCCTAACCGACTGAGCCACCCAGGCATCCCTGTGTTTTATTTATTTATTTATTTATTTATTTATTTATTTATTTATTTATTAGATATTTTATTTATTTGACAGAGAGAGAGATAGTGAGAGCAGGAACACAAGCAGGGTGAGTGGGAGAGGGAGAAGCAGGCTTCCCGCTGAGCAGGGAGCCCGATGTAGGACTCGATCCCGGGACTCCGGGATCATGACCTAAGTCGAAGGCAGACGCTTAACGACTGAGCCACCCAGGCACCCTATTTATTTTTTAAATAATTAATTCATTAATGAGAGAGAGAGAGCATGTGCCCAAGTGCCCATGAGCAGGGGCAGGGAGAGAATCCCAAACAGACTCTGTGCTGAGTGCGGAGCCTGATGTTGAGCCTGTTTGCTTGACCCTAAGACTGTGACTTGAGCCGAAAGGAAGTGTCTGACGCTTCATCGACTGAGCCACCCAGGTGCCCCCATTGTTAGCAGTTTTAAAACATTTAGCTTCTTACCTATAGCTTATTTTGTGTACATTATGACACAGCGATATTATTTATTTTTTCCAGGTTACTATCTGATTGTTCTACCATGACTTATTGAATGCATACCTTTTCTCTCTGATTTGAAATCCTACTTATCCATATTTTGGAGTCTAATTCTGACCTTTTTATTCCTTTCTATGAATTTCTTTTCTTAGTCTAGCATCATGATATTTTATTTCCTGTAGTTTATTTAATATATGATAGTATGTCTTCTTTTCTTTAAAATTCCTTCCTCTGATCCCAGATTTTCTTGGCTAGTAATTTGACTTTATTATTCCTAAAGAATTCTGGAATATTTTGTTCAAGTTACAGAAAAAAAAAAAAAACAGATTGAAATTTTCATGGGGCTTGCAATAAGTTTTGAATTATTTTTAGGCGAACTTATATCTTTACAAAATTACTTTTCTCTATAGAATATGTTAACATCTCTGCATTTACACATCTTATTTTAAGTCCTGCAGTACACTTGCAGTTGTCTTCATCAAGAACGTAAGTGTTGTTTTTAAGTTTATTTCTAGTTATTGTATGTGTTTTTGCTAATTTTGTAGATGAGATTTTTTGCCATTATATTTTTGAACGGCTAATAGCTGATACGTAGAAAGGCAGATTGAAGTTTTAATATTCATTTTGTAACTGGTTAGTTAAAAATGATAAGTATTAAGTACTTTTTCCAGAATCCTTTCTTTTCTGTGTTTTCAGTTGTTTCTAAGATTATCACAGTGACCATAGCTAAGTTCTGTCAGTGGGCAGACAGGTGGAGAGAAGTCATGTGGCTTCTAGCAGTTTAGTGGCTTCCTTTGGACTGGAGGAGCAGAAGGACCCCGGGTTAGGGCAGGGAAGGAGGCTCTGGACGTGCACAGGAACCAGGCTCTCCTGCCTCAGTGGCACAGCCCGATGGGCGTGGCAGGTGGGTGCCACCTCACCAGCCAGGGCTCACTGAGAGTTACTTGCTGTCTGTAGCTCCGTGTCCGCCAGGACTCGAGACTTGTCTGCCACGGGCGCAGCAGGGGCGTCAGGTGGCCGTGGGTGATGAGTTTTCCAGTCTGAGAGTGGAAAGAGCAGACTGAGCTGGGTTTGAGTCTCTCCTCCCGTG